CATAGGCTGTTTGTGTAGTTATATCATCAGTGGATCTCTGCAACTGACATAAAAAATGCATAATTTGCTGCAAGCAGGAGTGCTCCAATGGAGGCATCTCCAACTGCTTTGTAAAGTAGGAAGCTTCCCCTGTGAGCAAGAAAATTATCTATTTTTACCCACCATTGAAAATCATGTGGACAGAAGCCAGGGGGAATGCAGAGTTTAGAAATAAAGGTGCCACAGGGGTATGTGAGAACTGGAGCAGTACTGATTTACAAAAAGAGTCCCATACTTGCATAGAGTGAGAGATGGGGGGGACACAAGATCGATTTATGCTGTTTAAGCAGGATCCACATCAAGAGATCAATGGGGAGGGGGCACAAGTCTGTGCTTCCAGAGTAATCCACTCTGGTTTGTACAATGTAGAATAATTTTGAAACAATTGTTCTACCTGCGCTGCCTTATAATACTGTTTGAGGGCCTAAACCCCCAACTCTCCAAATTCTCTCAAAGTATATAAAGTGTGTCAAACTAACTATGTCCCTTGGGACCCCAAATAAACTTCAACAGCTGAGCCTGGAATTTCTGAAGTTCCTTAATCGGAACTGTCACTGGCAGGGTGCAAAAATAATATAAGACTCTGGGGAGCACCGTTTTAAGAATGGACCATGTAACATGCTCCCATAGCTACAGCAGTGCCTGCTGCCCCCCCCTCCCCCTCTATCAAATAATATGGAGAGAAGTTTCCCTGTACTATCTGTCAGATTTGAAAACAGCGTGGCCATGTGGGGCTCCGTGGACTTTCATGAATTAATGAACTGCAAATCCTGAGAGCTTTAGAGGCTGTGGGCTTGTAGTTTTCAATGAACTACCACGGCACTGTGGAGCGCCATGTGGTAGTTCATTGAAGCTTCCTGCTAGTATATCTGCTTGCTCGTACATCCCGTATGACAAGCAGATATTCTGACAGGTCTGCAGGAGACCTGCATGACATCAGTGATCTACAGATCGCTGGTGTAATGCTTTCCAGGCTCCTTTGGACAAAAATAATAAATACACATTTTTTTACCTGCAAAAAAATGTGCATTTATTATTTTTGACCAAAAGGTGAACTTATCCATTAATTCTGAGACAAAGTAGAGAATTAATAATTTGGTAATTTGCCATATGTACTATTTAATATTACATATATAATATGGCCATATGTAATATGGCGTATAATGCCCATTTAGGCTCTGTAGGACATCCTCATTCAGGTTAATATTCAGAGCTTCAGTTTTCTCACAATTAAACACTTGTCAGATATACTGCAAAAATGTTTGAAAGGGTCCAGAACTGATGAGAGAGGGGTATGATAAGAAGTAAGAAAGAGCAATAAATCATCCGTAAACAACACACATTTTTAATGCCTTCCGCCACTGACTATTCCTAAAATATTCAAGTGGCACAGGCCAAGGTTTCAATGTGGATGATAAATAAAATGGTTGAGAGGGGGCAGCCTTTTCTAGTGCCTGTCATTAAGGAAATAGGATCAGAAAGATAGCCCTTTAAAAGTATGCAAGCAGCAGGATTACTGTACAGGGCCTGGAGAAAAGATAGAAACTAGGGGGCAAAATTCCATTTATACAAAATTCTAAAGAGATAAGTCCAAGAAATGCTGTCAAAAAATGTTTGTATACCAAGTGATAGCAACATGCCATTTCTCATGCCAACCTGATCCCAGGAGGTATGAAGCACTGAAATCAAGTCACTGGCCTGTCTAATTTGATCCGAAGCCTGGCGATCAGGTACAAATCCAACGTGATCAATGTGAATATAGTTGATTAGAAAAGTGTTCAATCTGGAAGCGTACATCTTCAACAATAGTACAATATTTTATTTTCATGTACAGGAGAATGAATGACTACTGAAGTAACTGCTGCTGTTACAGGAAAATGACTAGCCACTGCTACATTATAGGAGAATGAATGAATGACCACTGCTACATTACTGGAGAAAGAGTGACTACTGCTAAACTATAGAAAAATGAATGCCTACTGCTGCATCACAGTAGAAGGATTGACCAATCTTCATGTTATTTCAAAATATATAATTTAGGTACTGCTGCTGTGCTTCCAGTCTACAATGCAATGTCAATCACCACCAGGCAATACTGATTCAACCTAAAGTCCAGGACAATGAGACTGAGGAATTGCCACTTACTATTTGGAAAGTAGCACCTGCATGATTGTAGCTGAATGTCTGAGGGTGCTACATTATCAGAACCCTCAGATCCAGAACCCTGGAACTTAGAATCAAATCTGAGAATGTTCCTACACAATGAGATGGTTATACATGTCATAGACCAAAAAATCAAAGACATCTATGATCTAGCAGGCAATGCGTACGTTTAGCTGCAGGTAACTCAAAAGTAGTATAGAAATGATCATTTATGGCTCCTGACCCTGGCAATAGGGATGCTAATTTAAAAAGATATGTGAAGCAGATACGTTTGGTGTTCTTATTCCTTTTCTGCAGTTACATTGCTTGCTGCAGACAGACTGAATGTAAACAGGGCAATATTTATACTGGTTTGGGCCAGTTCTTAATGCAAAAGCAAAGAAGATGGTAAGAGGCTATATTTTTAAAATTTCTTAGTATCCCTGTTTATAAATATAAGAGACAGTGTTTAAAATGTGCAGTGTTTATTTAAAGATATAAACTTGTGGTTTAAACGTTAAGACGTCAGAATATATCTTGTCTGCTTTAAATGAGAATTATTTAGTTTTTTTGCTAAACTGAAAAGAGATTCCTCAGAATTGTTCAGCTGAAAATAGTGGAAATTTACTTCTACCCAAAAGCTATTGCAAAGATTGCTGAACATGAAATAACAAAGCAATTGCTTTTATTCGTAGTATAAATGCTTGAACATTTCTTTTGTCATGCTTTCATGGTATACCTTTAAAAAGCTGTACATAATATTTTACTGCCTGAACAAACCACATTTTTACCCATACCTGAGCCATGACTTTTATTAGTGTAGATTTATAAAATGTGTTTTAAAAAAGCTTTAGGCAGAAATATTTGTCTACAAATATATATGATTTGTCCTACTTTTACGGAAAATTTTAAGGCTGTGGTAGAAATTTCTAATACAGATCTCCAGGAAAGCTCCTCTGTCTTACGCTATATTTAGAAAACATTCCAGATTTTTTTTGTATCCACTGCTGAAACTCTTTTCTTAGCTATATCTCTTTTTGACCCTGTAGACAAAAGCAAGCATTGCAGGGATTCAGATCCTGCATTAGATTGCTTGTTTCTCTCTGGGATTCATGGAAGTAGAAGGCAGCTCTGGGCTAAGAATCAGTTGTTTTTTTTTCAGTGGTTTTTAATGAAACCTCCTTCTAAAGGAATGCAAAGAGTAGCAACTCATGGCATCCATTTTCACCTGTTATTTTTTTGGCAAATTATCGTATTAAAATTTTATTAAACGCTATTCTTTACTTTATACGTTTTTAAATATTGCCAAAAGCAATTACAAACATGAAAAATTTATTTTTTTAGCCATATACTCTATCTTTTTTTAATTTGTAATAAAAATAGTATTCCATTACATTTTAGGTATACAGCACAAATTCAAGCTTGTATGTGTAAATGTTCTGCTTTCTGTTGGATCTGGATTCACATAGTAGCCAGTATAATGACTGTGAGCTCCTCCTCTTCCTCTTTTGTTGAACTTATTCTCAAATAATCTGAAGTCAAAATCCTTGATAGGATAGTGGACAATAACTGCAGTGCAGTAAGTAAACTCTTTCCAATCTTCTGACTATGACCTGACTATGGAATGATACATTGTTTTGAGTAACTGCATTTGCACATGATTCTTTTCATTACCCTGTTAAATAAATTGGATATATTATGTATGTTTTTATCTGCACTGGAGGTTTACTTTAAAGGGTTAGTTCACCTTTTGCTTATATTTGCCAAAAACCTTCACTATGCATTACAGTGTCCTTAATACATTAACATGCTGTGCTTCATTTTGTAAAAGATTCCTTACTTTTCCAGTTGCTACTGTTCTCCCCATAAACAGATGGAACGAAATACAGTGCCAAGTGTTGGATGCAGAGGTACAGGTGTGGATTTTACTCTGGTATACTGTGACAGATAGTATTCACTGGTACTGATATAGATTTTACACTAGTACTATGTAACAGAGACTGAGCACTGGTAAACTGACAGATGTGGATTTGACCCTGGTAGGCCGTGAGAGATATTTATCACTGGTACAGAAGTGGATGAGCACTGGTACACTGTAACAGATGTGGATTTGACCCTGGTAGGCCATGAGAGATGTTTATCACTGGTACAGAAGTGGATGAGCACTGGTACACTGTAACAGATGTGGATTTGACACTAGTAGGCTGTGACAGATGTTGATCACTGGTACAGAAGTGGATGACCACTGGTACACAGTGACATAAGTGGATCACTGGTGCAGATGTAGATCACTGGTACACTGTGACAGATGTGGATCACTGGCACAGTTGTGGAATTGTATACTGGTACACCATGACAGATGGATGTGGATCTTACACTGGTACACTGTGACAGATGTGGATCACTGGTACAGATGTTGAATTTTACACTGGTACGCCGTGACAGATGTGGATCACTAGTACATATGTGAATTTTACACTGGTAAGCCGTGACAGATATGGATCACTGGTATAGATGTGGCTTTTACACTGGTATGCTGTGAAAGATGTGGATCACGGGTACAGATGTGGATGACCACCAATCAGGGGCAGACTGACCATTTGGAAACACAAGCACTGCCCGAGGGGCCTGGGGTCAGTAGGGGGCCCCATGAGATGTCCTCGGTACCTTTTTCATAGGCTTTTTTGAGTTTGGGCAAGGACACAGAGGCCCCATGATCCCCTATTGCCCGGTGGCCCCATGAGTTGTCAGTCCGCCCCTGCCACTGATACACCGTGACGGATGTGGATCACTGATACTGTGTTACATATGTGGATCACTGGCACTATGACAGATGTGGATCACTGGTACTGTGACAGATGTGGATCACTGGTACTGTGACAGATGTGGATCACTGGTACTGTGACAGATGTGGATCACTGGTACTGTGACAGATGTGGATCACTCTCACTGTGACAGATGTGGATCACTCTCACTGTGACAGATGTGGATCACTGGTACTGTGACAGATGTGGATCACTGTTACTGTGACAGATGTGGATCACTGTTACTGTGACAGATGTGGATCAATGTTACTGTGACAGATGTGGATAACTGGCACAAGGGTGTAACACACATGACACATGTTGATGACAGATGTGGATCACTGGCACTGTGACAGATGTGTGGAACCCAGATGTGAATCACTGATACTGTGACAGATGTGGATCACTGGTACTGTGACAGTGTAATGTGTGGGTGGAGTGTGTTTGTCTAACTCAAAGATCGTCTCTGCTGCTCCTCACTAGCGGGCTCTGTTCAATTGAATGGCGGCTTTGTTTACATCACTTGACAGCTGTGATTGGACACAGCCATCATGTGATCAGAAGGGCCAATTATAGAGCCCTTCTGCCAAGCGGCATTGCTCTGTGTCCAGTGGACACAGGCACACAGAGAGCTTGCAGCTGCGTGGACATGTTCTGAAGGACATTCAGGAACATTCACTCAGAACAGTGAAGCTCCCACCTGGCAGTTTCTGTGCTGTGGCCAGGTGGGAAGCGGTTAATTTAACAAGCTGAAGTTAGGAGCTGATTGGCTACCATGCACAGCAGCACCAGATTCTGAGTGTTCCAGTTTTAGCAAATCTCCTCCTCAGAGTTATTCCATTTTGAAGAGGATCACAGATTCAGTTAGTGGGTAACTATAGCTGCTGGAGTTGCTATTTTATTTTGAAGAGCTGCTGAGGATTGCATTTTGTGTTTTTTTTAGATAACATTAATGGAAAATGTTATTTATGAAGAAGCAAACATTTTCTATTCATTTTAATGAGCAATAATATCACACCATTTCCTACATCGTGTAGTTAACATATGGTATGTGTTGCTAATGCTTAACATATGAAGGTCAAAGTGTTCATGAAATACGTGTTCAGATGATTTTTGAGAAAATGTAAATGATAAGCTACAGTATAGGATAAAGAAATACTTGTCAACATCCAGTCAAATTACTATCTATCTTGATCACTGACAAATCTCCTCCCACTCCATGAGGAACATACAAGTAAACTTTTCAATAAACAGGGAAATAGATGAAGGGTCAGAATACACTTGTGCAACATAGAAATGATTATAAGGCATCATGCACACAGTAATGCTCCAAATATGCAGGATTTTTTTCTGCCAGAAATTGCATGAAAAAAATGCTATCTGTATGCACATGTATGAGCAAATGTATGCAGGGTTACATGTGTATATTGTGCTCAGCGTAAATGCATTCTACTGGCTGGAATACTAATTTATTATGGCCATTGTAATCATTTACATGCATACACGTGTCCTTATGCGCATTTCGATGCATCTATGTGCATATAAGTGTAAAAAAAATGCTGTTAACCTGTGCTCCAAACGCAAGATTGGCACATTTTTTATGCACCTGAATGCTGCACACAAATACATGCATAAACATCCCCATGTGCGTGGCAACATTGAATAACATGCAGCTGTGTTCATAAAAAAATGCTACCCCCTTTTCTTAGTTATATAGGAGATGGCAATTGTTTCACCTATTCAGTTGTCTTTCATTTGAATGGCCAGTTTTCCAGTGAGTCACACTTGGAAAAACTGTCTGATTTTAAATATTTAGACTAATAGCAAACTTTTTGTCTCCTCATTGGAATGCCTGCTACATTTAAAGAGTTTTGAGGTTTTGGTTTTGTGGAGACGGTATAGCAGTGTTAGATGTTCCAGTAGCCACTAGAACACTGGAGTAAGGAGAACAAGAAAACAGTATCTGTTAGGCTGTCTTATAAATTGACTGACATTCTTGTAAATTGACTGACCACCCCTTACTGGATTCCTCTTTAATGGAGGAATAAAAAAAGGTTCAATCCAGAAGCCATTTTTTCATTTTTTGTTTGTGTTTCAAAATAATTTTAGGCCTGAAATCAGATATCCTGAAGAATAAAATATTGTACTTCCAATTTGTTATGTCACACAATAGTAGCACAACAGTTTATACACTAAAATGGATTATAGGACACATAAACACAATATATTACCCATTTTTTTGGGTAAAATATAAAATTTTAGGTTGTGCCAAGTAAATAGAAGCCTAGCATTTCAAGCCTTAAAATTGCATGCATCCATGAAACTGCAAAAATTAGGAACCATATTTTTTCCATAGGTAATGTTTAAAAAGACCCTACAGATCATTAGTTTAAAGTTAACCATAAGTAATGTACCTAGATTTATTGCACAGCTATATGTGTATTTCAATTAACATGTTCACATATAGGCTACCGCGATGCATGGTTTAGATATGTTTTTTATGAGGGGAAGGATTTTAAATTATTGGGTGTATCTTTAATGTTCTCTACTTTTGTTTGCTTTTTTTTTTTTTACTAATTTTTTTTTTAATCACATGGGGCAAAAATGTCCCTGCTGTTTGATCTGCCCTCCAAAAAAAACTAATAGAGTGCATCTCACACTTCATTGCCTTCTTCCTCAGCAATACTGGCTAGGGAAGGTGACACCATGACCCAGAACTTCTGTTTTATGACCCAGAACTTCTCTTTTACATGTTGCTTCTGAGTCATTAATTGGAAGGAGAAATCAGCAAATGGACATTTGATGATCATCTTCCTCTCTATTCAGCAGCACCCACCATGCCAGCCCTGGGTCTGTTGATGGGTGCTTGGAGACTGGTAAACATTGGTGAGTGGCATGTTGCTGCAGTTGTGGAAGTGATCATTTACACCTGAAATCTGACAGTTAGCTTTACAAACTTACACACAGTATGACAACCAGAAGTGTGTTTAAAAATCCCTGATTCCAGCATTTTTTAAAATGGTCCCGGGGTGCAAGTGTTTAAACATAGAATAATAACAGGAAACAGCATACACATTACAATGTAAGTGACAAAAGCATACTCTGTTTTGCCTTTTAAACTATTGTCTGCTGCTCAATTAAATGAGAAGTATAAACTTAAACAGGAAACAAATGGTTACTTAAATAAGGTACTAACCAGGATACATTTCCAGAAAGTGTAGCTGACACAGGTGAGACTGCATCTCTTGAAGAAATAAAATTATGATGTGTAAGAACAAATAGTTTTTTTTAGCTGAAAATTCCGAGGTATGCCATCAAGGCAATGTTAGGGACCTGTGAAACATTCATGTGACAGTTGATGGGAAATACAATTGTAATTATTGACTGGTTGTCTGTGGATATTCAAAGAGTCTCCCCAATGCTGAGCACACACAGCTTTATAGAGTATGGAGGAATCCAATGTTACTGAAAGATTTCTACAAATAGGCACAGATCCTATAGGATCAATATTCGGTAGCCACTAATTTCTTTTTGCTCTCTGTATGCATTAAAAATGCTTCCTGCATAGTGAAAGTATTTGGCTATACCAGGTGTAGACTTGTTGTTGAATCCTTGCTTCTTTGGACCTAGAAAGAACGATCTCCTTATGTTGCAGTTTGGGCACATTTCAAGATATTGGGAAGTCATAAGGTTGACCCTAAGATAACGCAGTAAATTCATATCTTTGTATTTCTCAGATATGCCAATAAATCAAAGGTTGGATCTTATTTTTTTCTAAGTTCTCTATATTTCTCTCTTCCATAGAGGAAATAAGAAGTGATTGGATTTCTGTTTTGTTTTTAGAAGTTGATCTTCTAGGCAGTCAGGTGATGGTTTCCAGAGCAGTTTCCATAGTTTTTGTTTTATTGATGCAAACTTTTTCAAAACATTTTAGACATTGATTTAACATTAGCAGGTGAGGGAAGAGTTACACTGATCTGGGAAGAATCATCAAGATGTTCTGGGTGACTCGATGGAGGCAAGTGTGAGGATGAGAGTGACTCTTTTCTGAATTTTGTTCTTTTTTTCCAATTTGGTTAGGTTTACTGCTGCTTGTTTGTGTTTATCCAGCTATTTTTTTCCATGTTGAAATTGGGTAGAGTTGCTAGAGAATACATGTCCTTTGCAGGCAAAATTGATATCTAAATCTAAATGGGTAATAATTATAAATTGATCAATGGTACAGCAAAGCACCATCACATGTTGGACACAGGCATCTGAGTAGAGTCACTTATTATTGCACTTTAAATTCTGTAAGGAAGGTCTTTTCAATAGTAGTAATATGTAGTAAGCAGTTTCAAAATAGATGAGGGGTGATATGTTATATGAGAAGAAAATGCAACAAAATGTTAATGTAGAATGTCTCGGAAAAAGAAAGTGCTCATATACAGGGGTTAGACAAATAAATGGAAACACTACATGATTTGCAGGTGTGAAAGTGAAGACATGTTTTGTTGACTGAGATTGATCTCTGCAGTCACGTTTTGAAGCAGTTGTTTTTTTATTCTGGGTCACAATCCTTCGCAATATCCTTTTGTCTCTTTTGATCAATTGACCATGTCGACTGTGCTTATGCTTATCAGACGATGTTTTCCTAGAAACTGTATAACCTTTAATACTGTACCTTGTGACATGGTAAATAAAAAATAGTCAAGGTCAAAAATATCGTCACTTTCACACCCACAACTCATATAGTGTTTCCATTTTTTTGTCTAACCCCTGTAGTCACACCATCATGCCACCATTAGAAATATTAGATTTAGGTATTCTGCTATAGTTAAGAGAGTTTACTGCTGCGTTAGTAGTAATATGTAGGCCAGTGAGGAGGATCATCTTCGGTCAATCTAGTGTAAGGGGCACCGGTTAGTGTGCCTTCAAGCCTGAAGCCTGCACCAGACACCACCCAGTGGAAGCTAGCAGGGGAGTGAAACACAGTGGAGTAGAGTGAGTCATGGCCTCAATATCTGTGGACAGTTGGACAGCTGGGTTGCAGATAGGCAAAATTTGTGTTATTCGGAGATTCAGATGACATAACA